TATTTCGATTTGATCAAGAACGTAAACCAATGCCAACGCTGTATAGTAGCCAGTCAGTATTAAGTTGTATTAAGTTAAAAAAATATAGGCAAATTACCATTCAGAAACGTTTAGTAAGAGCCGTGTGTGGTGAGGTTCTGCTTGACTCTCTTCATCATTCTCATTCAGTCTCACCCCAAAAAGTCATATAACTGACGTTTTGGGACGTCTTTTGACCATACGTCAATATTCGCCTTTTTAGGGCCCCCTTAAACATCGGTAGAAGACGTCATCGGATCCTAACCCTACCCCAGACCTAAACCTACCCCGTCACCAAACTGACGTTAAAGGTAAAGCGTCAGTTGTATGACGGCCCGGGATCGCCATCTACCGACGTTTAAGGGTACCCTAAAAAGGCGAATATTGACGTATGGTCAAAAGACGTCCCAAAACGTCAGTTATATGACTTTTTGGGATGAGAATGTGTTGCGCCGCTTTCTGGGTCTGATTCTGGCTCATAGCAGAGACTGATCGACACCATTATTTACATTGACTGAAGCACATGAAACATTCGCCCGTAAAGGTAATGGGCGTGAAGTATCCAGACAACGTGCACAACAGTTTAGCCAATCACAACACACCGGCCCAAACTAACCAATCTGAGTCCATTCCCTGTTTCTGGGGGAGTGGTTTCATAGTGAACCGGTCATTCAAATGACGGAGGAGAAAGCGGCTTACAATAATAGTGAAATTTCTGAAAAATAAGACTTTTTAAAAAAGAAAAAACACAAATATATGTTATATTGCTCCCCATAAACACAATCATGCAAAGAAAAAAAGCAGTAAACCACCCCTTTAAAGGGGACTCATCTTGAAGAAAAAGTGCTATAATCAGGTTCCTGATGACTCAACCCAGAAAACGTAAAAAGTGAAACCCAGAAACTTTGTTCTGATGAGTCTTTCTGCAACCATGTCAAAAATAATCAGATCTCGCTCTCCTTCTGAGAGAGACCAGTTCTAACGCAATGGCAGAAGATCCAGCAAAGCCTGAAACTGTTCTGTGGTTGAGCACGGACGAGAACTGAACATTACTGGCCAGAACATTTCACTGATGTCTTATAAACACCTCAATAACTGTGGACACTTGTGGAAGAGTTAAACAAGTCGATGGGATCAATGTAACTCCACAACAACTATAGACTAGACTAGAAACGTCTCTCTCTATTCCTGATTCTGGATCAGAGAGATTGGTCTATTTAGTTATTGCCAGTGTCTCTGAAGCTTGTATAAAGGCTCCGCCCCCTTCTGAACAGAGGCGGAGGAACAGCTCATTTGCATTTAAAGTGACACACACACAAACAGTGCGTTTTTGCTCAAACCCAAAAAGGGGCATATTTGACAAGCTATAATAAGTGATCTAGGGGACATTTTGAGCTGAAATTTCACAGACACATTCTAGGGGCACCATAGCTTTATATTACATCTTATGAAAAGGGGCATAATATGTCACCTTTAAATTAAATTAAAGGAAACGAGAACGTTCAAGCTTACTCAATGTGAGCAAACAAGACAAAGATTGCTTCTGTCACTCGGTAAGTAATTTTAATGTTAAAATGGTGTACAGTGAGAGGCTCGCCCACACGCTCTTTTGATTGGCTTCTGGTCATTGTGTCACATGATCTGGTGTGGAGAGTCTAAAATGCTTGTCACTGGAATCGTATCCCATCCCGTCTGGTTAGGACACGGTGTAACACTAGGGTTGCCACCTGTCTCGGTTTTACCGGGATCGTCCTTCTTTTTAATAACCTGTCCCGGGAAATTTATGCACTCTCCCTGGACACTGAATTCAAACCGTGTAGCGCGTACACAGCAGAGAGGGAGAGAGCGAGAGACCTTGCGTGTGTGTGCTAGTGTGCGTGTGTCTCAGAGAATCCCCGTTATGTCCCGTTTTTTATCAGACATAGGTGGCAACCATATGTAACACTAGTGCAATTTCGACATCCAGTCCACCAAAGGAATATGAAACTCTTACTAGAACATTCATGTTCCTTCTCCTCAGAATCCAGTCCGTTCTCCAACCCGGACTCTACAAAGACCTCGTTTGTATCATCTGAATCGCTGTCTCTGTACAGCAATCCAGTCCTCACCAGAACCTCAGCGCTCAACTGAAAAGATCACATCACACAATTCAAATGCAAATTAAAAAGGTTAGGCTTCCGTCAGGCGCTTCATATATACGGTACAACCTTTTAGGGGTTTCCATCATGGCATCATTTTATGGATTTAGTTCTAAATAATTTAGCTTTAATCCATTTTTTTATTTTGAAACATTGAATCAGCTTGACATACTTTATCACTAGAAAATTTGAAATAGCTCGTAAAAACATGAAGACATTTCTCCTTATATAAACCATTTTGGCATAAAGGGTTCTTTAAATTTGAATCAAGAACCCTAGAGTTCTACATTGAACCCCATTTTCTAAGGCTGCATTCACACTGCAGGGGCTAAATGCTCAATTCTGAAAAAATTCGATTTTTTTGCAAGGCCGTTCACATTTCCAATTAAATGCGACCTTTTGTGACCCATATGCGCAGAAGAGTACTCAACGGTCAACAACGTCACTTGTTGTTTGCGGAAGTTTGCACTACCCAGATAGCAAACTGACATTGAATCAACGTGGAAATATGACATTGAAACAACGTTGATCTGACATTGTTTTGCTCATCGAATTAACGTTGAACCAACGTCAGACGCGTCATTCTTTCAAAACTAACGGAAAATCAACTTGAAATCAACGCGTTGTTTCAACGTTATGAAAGCAAACCAATTTTCGATTTTCATTTAGCTTTGAAGAATGCCGCGTCTGACGTTGGTTCAACGTTAATTCGATGAGCAAAATCAACGTTGTTTGAATGTCATGAGAGACGTCGTTTCCACGTTGATTCAATGTCAGTTTGCTGTCTGGGTAAACATGGATTTCAACAGTGGAGCTCGTTTAACAATATTAAAGTTATTTTCCCAACAGAGCCAGAATAATTACAATCTTCTCATTTCCCGCCTACTTCAACGCAGAATTATGACGTTTGTCGCATATCAATGACGTGCGGGTCGGATACATGTGACCTGGCCGTCCAAGTCGCATTTCCAAAGATCGGATACATTTCGGATTTGGACCACATACCCGAGTGGCCTTGGTTGCATTTTAAAACATCAGATCTGTGTCGTTCAGACTGTCATGAAAATATCAGATACAGGTCGCACAGGGGCAAAACAATCGGAATTGGGTCGTTTCATCCTGCATTGTGAGCGTAGCTTAAAGGCCCGTACACACCGGGACGAATATCAGCGCGCGTTATTCGTCAGCGTTTTTCAACGCGTTTTTTTGTGTTCACACCCAAGCGATTTTCGCTGACAATGAGCCGAGTGAACATGCAAATTCATTCCCTGACAATAGATGGCGCTAATTTGCTCTGCAATACCACTCCATATCCGTTTCCTTTTATCACTATTTGTTTGTAGTGACTGTCGCGTTTGTCATATAGTTATTTATGTTCTAGCACCAACGAGACCAGCAGCTCTACATTCATCTTGCCTCGCATCTTCCTCGTCTTATTTCTTCCTGGCTGTGTAGACGGCGACGCGTATATCTTCTTCTCCGTTCCGTATGTGTACTCGGCAAGACTGTTTTGTGTTTGAGCGCCCCCAAGTTGTGTTTTACTGTAACTTCAGAAGCTCCCAACACATGAGCAAAAGCACCAATCTCATTGGTCGGATAGTTTTTGCCCCAGCACGTCAAACTAAAAAAAAAAAAAAACGGAGGCGTTTTAAAAAAAAATGACGCTTTTACGCGTTGCGTTTTACGCGTCGGTGTGCATATTCACATTGGAGTCCTTTGTTTAGTCACGAGGCGTTAAACGTCGGCCAATAACGCGCGCAAATTTCGTCCCGGTGTGAACAGGCCTTAAGAGTGATACAGAAACAGTGTGTTTGTTCACACACTGCAAAAAACAAACAATTTATAGGAATGGGTAGTATGCTGTATAGTGTGTGTCACGGTGTAAATATATAGCTCTTTTGACAGTTTAGAGAGAGACAGTTTAGACTCTTTAGTTTAGGCCATAGACATATACACTAGACCTCACCTGGGGGTTCTAAGCATGCGTCAAAACCGCCGCCATCTTGGAACAGGGGTCTTGTCATAGGAAGTAGCTAGGTAACGCTGCTATCTCTGCCTTTACTTCGAATTCATTGATGGTGGCGGACTTTTGTGCAGCGCATGAAGTTCAAGGATGAAATCTGAACTAGGAAGAATGTTTTACAAAAAATTTAAAAAAAAATTTAAAAAAAAAATTTCTTTCTGGAATCAATGATAAATACATGTCTGACCGTTGGAGCAAACCAAAAAACAAGAAAAATCGCATTCATGATGATTTATGGTGATTTTATTTGCGTTAGACCTGTGTCTACTACATTGACGCTGATGCATTAAAGTGGAGGGGCTCCCCTGTTTCAAGATGGCGGCTCTATTGACGCATTCGTTCCAATGAACTGCCGTATCCAAGGTGAGGTCTAGTGTATATGTCTATGAGTTTAGGCCCCGTCCACACTACTGCGTTTTCGTTTAAAAACGGAGAATTAAAACGAAAACGATCTCCGTCCACACTAGCGTTTTACCTGCGTATTAGAATTTATCTCCGTCCACGACTGAAAACGTAGATCACGTGACCATTCACCAACACTGGGCATGCGCGCGCCGGTGTAAACAGTGGTTGGCGAATCAGGGAAAGATAGCGTGAGCCTCTGCGTCATCGTTTGTAAACTCCTCTGTTTTGTCGGGAGGTGCAAACATAGCAAAAGGTCTCCGTTTTTTTAAACGAAAACGCAGTAGTGTGGACGGGGCCTTAGAGTGATGAAATGAATGAACGAGAATATAAAAAGCGGGATGTGCTTGATGTTATAAAGAGTTATAAGTGCAATCTATACTGAAAAGGACAGCAAGTGCTTGGGAGCACTTCGACTCGGTGTAGTAATATCATCACTCGTAAAAAGTCTTCCCTCTCCGGAGTGATGATATAACTGCGCCGAGTCCATATGCCCCGAGTGGTATTCCGCCATCCAATATAGTTATCCACTTTACACACTTAGAAAAGCGCAACGATTTATTTTCTGTCACCATTCTTGATCGAGTTACAATACTCATAGAACTAATAGGGAAAACGTGGAGGTGTTTGATCACTACTCTGCTTGGCCCATGTTGAATGAACTGGGCTAGTTAAGTGCGATCAAAGTGTCACACTTGATTGAGTGCACACACTGAGACGAGAGAGGTATGTATCAACTCGTCTTAGTTACGGGAATAACATAGTTTAATATGAAAAAACCGGTGGAGTATACCTTTAAATACTATGTAGTCACGTCAAAAAATAAGTACAGTGCACTTATTTTGTTGAGATGTAGCCTATGTGGATATGTGTTTACGGGTTCGGTTAGGGACAGGTCTGCTGGTATGGGTAGGGTTAAGCGGTAAGGGAAGGTAATTATAGATGCAAATTACAGAAAATAATTACAGATGTAATTACATGTGGGTAGTTTCTAAATATAAGTACAATGTAAAAACATGTGTGTATACAATAAGTGGATTGTATCAAAGTATTAATTTAAGTGTTATTTAAGTACACATTATATAACGTGGGACCTGCCTGTGCAAGTTTGCCTCTCAGACACAGCATTCATGGGAGGAGAGTATTTACTGCAACCTTTGAGCATTGCTAGTTTCAGTTGCCAACCGCATCAATTACCTAATGAAGCGGTTATCCTCATTATCAAAAAAATGCATGCTATATTTAGCATTTAAACAAAGGGCCAGGCGATCAAAGCAGCAATCAGGTGTCACAGGTGGTTCGTTATAATGGATTTGTGGGTTGAAATATTATTAGACGCACACACCTGGTCTCTCAGATCACGTTGTCTCCTTCGCAGCTCCACAAACCGCATCTCCCATGATGCTCTCTGGTTTGCGATCTCTATCTTCAGCTCCTGGATCTCCCCTTCAGCCTTTAACAGTCTGTTGTGCAGGCGTTCACGCTGAACACAGTTTTCGGCTCTAGCCTTCTTCTCAGAGACTGAGTTCACATCTGTCCCTGCCAGATGCTTGACACCTTGGACTACTGCAGATTTATGAAAGGCTTAATACTTTGACAAATGCAAATCAAATAGGATAGTTCACCTAAAAACATAATTTTCTCACTGGCATCTTGTATGAAACTTCTGTGGTTTTCTTGTGGATCACAAAAATCTGTATTTTTGTTTTAAATAAATTCTCAATGAATGTCAGTGTTGTTTTGGATGGACAAAAACATTATTCCCAATTATGTTCCACAGAAGAAAATAAGTCATAGTGGTTTTGTAAAAGATAAGGTCCAAGGAATCAGTGACAGAATGTTAATTTTCCCTTTAAGTACCCTTCATTTATAAGTTCTGCGATGTGATTTTGGCAGACTATTTTTCATACAAAACTAGCCTGCCATCTATTGGACAGGTATGGACA